CCCCCCCCCCCCCCCCCCCCAAACATCACCACAACCCACCCAATCATCATTATCACCCACCCAACCACCATTATCACTCACTCATCCAACCATCACCATCACCCACCTAACTATCTCTATCACCATCACCATCACCCACCCAACCATCACCCACCCGCTATCAAAAGGTAATGAAGTTAGTTGTTGAGTACATACCGGTGCTCCTCTTCTTCCAGGATCACCCTGTCACACGAACAAACAGATACCGTGAAACAAAGCAATTATAGACCAGCTCAGCCTGACCCCTTTAGACCTCTTGGAAATAATTAATGCCGCTTTACACGCGTGACTGCTAAACAAAAGAATCATTCTCAAGGGAATGACATGGAATGGGAACAATGTTACACGCTAAGTGAGAAGGGTCAGTCTACTTATATTACCAATTATATTGCCAACTATCAGGGTATCTTTTGTATCTCTGGAGTTTCTCCAAGCCCAACTTGATAGCATCACGACATGTTTTTTCAAAACCCGCCAAGACAATTGACTTGGATGTATTTAATTACAACAAGATATGTTTAACTCTGGATATGCCCTTGCAAGTATTTTAAACTTTAGCAATAAAATATCATATTTCAAATTCACATTCTTCTTTTTTTTTGTGTGTGTATATAGTTCATACRGTGCACACAGAACATGTTATTTTGAGAGCGATTACGCAGGAGTGAAATAACGCCGGCAGAAAAGCCACTCCACGATTTCGAGCGCAAAYACGACGTGCAAAACTACGACTGATTTTGAGGCTAACAAAAGGCAATGTAAATTAATATAAAGGTTCAACCTAAATTGAAAATCTATTTTATCAAATCCCTTAAAAAACCTCTGGGCTGATCTAAGTTAGGCGCAAGGCTAACTCGTAGATCGAATTGGAATTTAGCGCGTTTGGTTTCGCGGAGGAAAGAACATGCCAAAACCTTCGAATCAATGCAGTGACCAAACAAACCCTGCTCACATGATGCCGTGTGCCTATTTCAAGGTTGTCTTTACCTTAATGCCAACATTTCCATCCCGCCCGTCACGGCCAGGTGTTCCTGCTACGTGCACGGTACAGCAGCCACATGACGTACTGCCCTTGGTTGGTTGTGGTGGCCATGGTAGGCGCTACAAATTAATGTATCAAAAAAAGGGRTATCAGAGTGGCTTCAGTATATCCTTGAGAACTAGGGTGAGGTATCTTTAAGACTCAGATATAGTGCATACGATATATCCGTGAAAAGGTTAACTAACAAAATTGTACGAATTAGTGCTCAGTTTTGTAGGTCTACGTTCTACCGAGGTCTACTAAATCTACGTTCTACCGAGGTCTACTGAACTTACTACTTTGCGCAAATTAGTGCAATTTCTTACAAAGTTTTTCACGGATACACGGCCGTATGCACTTTAAGCTGGCTGTTTCGTAAAGAGAAGTTAAGAACATAGAAAGAGGAGTGTTATCCAGTTAGAAAAAAGCGCAAATGATATTTGAAGCACACGCAGAATAAGATCAAACTCTTTCAGTTTTCTTACTTTTGGAGACTGTGACTGTGCACTTCCCAAAAAACCAACGAAGAAAATCAGGAATATGACCCACATTATCTTACTCATCACGAGCGTTTATAACTTCCTCAGCGTTAGCTAGCAAGACGTATGTGACGTGCTTAAGAATCGTGAGTTATCTTTTATACCTCTAATGCTATCATATYCCAAATCGAGTTACTACGCATTGGATTGCGGATATCTTCTAGGTTATCAGCTTGTTTTAAATTACGTCTTGACAGCCATTTCAAATTACTTGACTAAAYCTTCAGATTTTATCGAAATCTAACTCAAGACTGTTTCAGGTTTGATGGTCTACTGAAAGCCCAAACACCATTAAAACGACGTTCAGGTTTGCACAAAAATATATTACAGGAAAATTTCTCSATCGGTATTCTCTGAGCTGACCACCAGAAACGCAGGCTCGTCGAACGAGATTTTGACACGACTGTGCGTGCGTCTTTAGTGTGACGTCAGCATTTTCAAAGTCTTCTTTAYTTCTTCATTTTCTAATAATATCCACTGTTTGCAGATAGCCTTTTCGAAAGTTTAATACCAATATATTGTATATGTGAGATAAGCTGGAGTAGAGTTCCGCATCTTCYAATCAAGCAAGTTAACCTTCAACCTTCAAATGTTATCGAGCACGGCTAACTCACGGATCGAATCAGTGGAAGTTAGCGTACTTTTTGGGAGGGGTAAAAACCGGAGAACCCGGAGAAAACCTTTGAATCAAGGAAGTCCTAACAAGCTCTACTCATATGTAAYGAGATAGTATGGGAATCAAACACCAGAGACTCCACCAGAAGTGAGAGACGAATGCGCTACCGCCACTGACCATGCGCATGCACCCTTGATTTCCTAAGCCGATTTTGATCCAGTGAGTTTCTAGCTACGAATCTTTTATAACTTTTTTCGTCTTTCCTAATTTAATAATGTAAGGGAAAAAACTTCTTCAATTTGAAGTTGGGACAACCGAAGAAAGGACAAGCTGTATAGCACTACTATTTTTGTCCAGTCCTGCTAGTCCGGCACATTGAGCATGAACGACTGCTAGCTTTCATGCATGAGCAAAACGACAATAATTAACACTGTCATAGATCCATTAGCTAGATACAAAACTAAGCTGTCATAAATATATCACGATCTGCAAGACCATGGCTAAGCTTGAAAGGTTCGTAGTTTCGTTCTGGGTCCTCACATAATTCTAAACATACACATACGACGTCTCTTTAATCTACGTAGCATTAGCTTTGAGTACTATCAAAACAGAGCACTGATGAAGAGAGGGTGTGAAACGTGCGTCATGGGCTTGTACTAATAGCAGTCGAAGTGCAAGAAGCTACCGACATTTCTAGATAGATACGCCTTACATTGTCTGTAGTCGCCGACGCAAGGTCTTCTTATTTACAAGTTTGCGACCGGCCGGCCTTGGACTACAAAACTAAACRATTATGTCTCCCGAAAGAGTAAACTAGTAACCCTCTCCGCATGCAGCCGCAAACAAACAARAACTCACTGCTAATTTTGTAGCACTTTTTTACTGATTTGTTTTTTAGCTTATCCAAGATTATAATCTCATTGCACCGAGATATCCTYGCAATGTCATTCATCCAATAAATAATTTCCAAAAAAGAAAGTTTCGACCGCGTRAAAGTATGGACAAAGATTTTTTTAAACGTTTTCAGAAACTTTTTACGGACTTCATTCATGCTCGAAAAACTTTACCAAGTATTTTTCGTGGAAGCCTCCACCCAATACTAAAATCACGGCGAGAAATTTGAGCATGAAGTTGAGTCATTCGAGTAATTATTCATGAAATTGATACCATTCGTAGCACCAAATCTAATTTCACCATAACAAAGCTAACAACACCATAAAGTGAAATCTTTTAAGAGTCTTTAAGATATAATAACAACAAAAGACCTTAAAATCTTCACTTAGTTGAACTTTTTATGTACTTTACAYGGAATTTCAAGACAGAATAAACGTCAAGTTTCTGTGCTGATATATTGTTAGCGGTTTGCGGAAATTGTACTTGACTTCAATCATTTGAAAGCACAGATTTTAGAKAGAGACAAATTGAAGTTTACAATTGAAAACCAACTGTTTTCGACCTGAAAATGGAGTTTGAAAGAAAACATCAAAGCGTCACAAAATGGTTGTCTCACTTTTATTGTTATAACGGACGCACAAATGCGTGGTCTTTCTGTATTGGCATAAAGGGTTATCGACATCTATTAAATGGTACTTATGGAAGAGATAGAGTTACGCTTTGGGACACGCGCCGGTCCAGTGTGTTTTTCGTAAGGCTGACACTAWAGAGGCGGTAGAATAGGCTCGTGGGTACAATCGATGACTGATAACATTAGAATTTACAGTCTTTAAGACTGCACAGCTTTAACTAGAAGAAAAGAGCCTTTTTTTCTCTCTTAAACATCTGGTCTTGACGTACTGAGACGGTGCCGGGACCTGCTGTAAAGACATTGAGAAAGAACATTCTAAAACTCGAAGACACAGTAGAGAGAAAAAAAAGCGAGTACAACCATTACACGCCGTTTTGGTGGGCCCTGAAACGGGTCATAAAGTCTGAAAGTAATACAAGAACCTATCCTAAGGAATCGTTTGAGAATAGCACTATAGTTTCGTAGTGTATAACCTTTTGAAACAAAGCGAAAGAGAAACTCCAGAGTCATGTTTGACCACAGTCCAGCACTGCCTTYAAATCTTTGGAAATTTTGAAACTTTTATTGGTTTACCTATCTTTAATAATATTAACAAATTACCACCGTCAAATATTAAAGAAGCAAAATTTAGTTCAAATTTATTGTATTTATAAACCGTGTAGGTATGATTTTCCATAATGTGTTTTTAATCGGTTTCGTGCGGCAATWTAATATTCGTATGCAAATGTTTCCTAATTTGTTGAGACGTTGATCAATCGATATTTGGTTGGCCTTCTAATTTGTGGGTTTAACGCAAAGCATGGCTGTTTTGTTGATGTGGCTTCTTGGAATAAAGATTTTGTGTGTGTTGTTAGCATATAACAAACGAAGCATGAGCTTTTGGGAGTGGCCGAAATTCATGAAAACAAACACAYTCACGCGAAAAATTCTCTTTACACAATCCGTGAGGCAAAAATTAATTTATTGACTTTTTTAAATGATCTTTTAATAAAATTAAAGCATAGGTGTTTTTTTTAGTTGAATTAGGATTATTTCGTGATTTGTGATGTCAACTCAATATGGTTTTGGCGCGAAATCAGCGAGCACGCAAACGTAAGATATTTGTGCAAAACATTTTTTTCGACAGCTTAGAAAATCTTGAAAATTTCACACAAAAAAAGCTAACTTTTAAGAAATATTTCTTCAACTGAGATTAAGGTTTCAAATAGTTTCTTGATTTTCCGTGCGTTATGAATTTAAAGTAGAAATATGTGTGTGTGTGTGTGTGYGTTTTTGTCTTAATTCTCAAACCATTAAAGTGTAATTATTTCAATACGTCGACTTCAAAAGTACATTTCACTCTATTAAGATTAATGCTTTTCTCTTTTTAYTATTAGTCTTAAGAGTTTTACCTTTCATTTACGGTCTACAAAGTCGATCAATTATAATTTTACACTTTAAAGAGAATGAAAAACGCGATGAATTTTYGTGGAGTTGAGGTATGGTTTAGTAACCTAGGTTAAAATCTTAATTGCGAATTTGTGTGCGCTATGCGGAAAATTTGTCTCAAGAAAAAAAAACGCTTSTCTTATGAATCTTTTTTCTGAATTTTGAATCTCGTTGAAAGACGTTTACCTAAGATACTTCATCAACTCGTTCTGTATGTTTTTTTAGAAAAAGACTTTTGAAAAACAATTAAACATTCGCAAGCTAGTGTAGACACGTGTGAGAACATCAATAGCTTCATGAAACTACAAACCACAAAAATACAAAAATCAATAAACATTGTCCTTAAATAACCGAATAGTCATCTTCCGTTCCGTCAGACTGATGACCACAGCTTCTCAGTTTTCTCCGCCGTCACTTATTTATTTTAATTTAATTTAATTCAACTTTATTAAATTAATTTTTGACTTCAGACTTGTCTCTTCGTATCTTGAACTAGTTATCTTGGAAAAAATCAACTCGAAAAGTTTACACTTGATTTAGTTCACAAAATAAGCCGTTTTCACTTTAAGGCTTGTTGGGGATAAGAAAAAGACAAGATATATCGTAATTCTTAACTTCTCCAGTTCTGGGAAGTTTTCCTGGCGTTTGTAGGCAGCCAAATTGTAATAAAATTTGCGATAATTTGGCTTGTGTAAAGTAAAGAACACAAAGTAGTACTACAAGCATTATTATCTCGATGTATGACAGATGTTAGAGCGTTTGCTTTCATTCTCAGTGTCAAATGTGTGTAAATTCATTCACTTGTTTTAATATCGAGAGCACTATCTAAACCCTGTCTAGCTTAGGAGAGATTTGTAGCATCGACAAAACCGGGACATGTGTCTCAGTGAACGTTTTGCATTGTAGCTTCTTCTAACTCGTTTTGTGCCTTCGGTGGGGAGTCTTTCACAAGACAAAGCCGCCACGAAAACTTCGGTTACTAAATCCCAATTTACCAAAATTACAAGCTTAGAAATTCAAAGTTTAACTATTTGATTAATTTATATTTGAAACTAAACTAYGTTAAGATTAAATTTAGATACCTCTTTTTACAGAAAAAACTGGAAGTTTAAAAGAAGTTTAACATGATGTGGAAAAGRGCTCAACTTGTCTGCCATCATTTCACGTAGCAACCCAAACTTTCGTTTAAAACACGTTTTCATCATCAATTACTATTCATCAAAACAAGTGAATTGAAGTTGTCGGAATGAGAAAAAAAAGGTAAAARTAATAATGTTTAGGAAACCCCGTTGCTGTAGAGCTTAAAAAAGATTAAAATACAACAATAAAAAGGAAGACATTACACGATTTGTGAATGTCATTTTGAGAGGGAAGCCTTTCGAAGTTTAATTTCTAACAACAAAATGGCCTTTTAAAGCGGTGAAAGTCAGCTCAGAGGGATACAATTAACTTTTTGTAGTACAGAATTCAGAAAGTGAATCGTACAAACAAAACATCCTTTTTACATTTCTCCCAAATGGCCCTAAAACATATTTTCTCAAGTAAAAAAAAAATTAGGCTCCGAACCTATGAAAGCCATTCAAGTTGCAGTTAAAATGAAAATTCCATTTTAATTTGAAGTTAAAACTTTTTGATTTGGAATGAATAAGAATTGGACTCCCCACAGACTCTGAAGAGCAAAATTCTTTGATTCATATTTTAGAAGAATACAAGCTTGACTTTGAATCCCTGCTGATTAGAACCTTTAAGACGTAATACAGATTAACATTTAAAAAAAAGCGAAGAAAATAAGAACTTTTGAAGTTTACTGTTTGGATTAAGCCTTTCAGCTAAAAAGGGAAACCTCATTTGTATTAAATCTAACCAACAATGGAATCAACTTTGCACGAGTTAAGAAAGTTTTTACAACTAAAAGAAGAAAAAAACGCTTGATTATCAATTTTAGTGATGCATAGTTTCTTTTATAGATGGAAAAAAGTACAAAAAGTACAAAACATTTCTCGCGAAGCGTGTCTTTAAAACAAAATTCGGTATTTTTCAACAAAGACCTTGCTTAAAAGGCATTAGAAAATTCCTATCAAGAGATTTACTTTTTTAATTTGTCTGTAGTGGGTAGAAAATGAATTTGCTTTGACAAGCACCACTGCAGAAATAATAGATTGTTTTGATTGCAGACTTCTAACTATTTAATCAAATTAGCAAAGRATTGTTACCCTCGATATATAAGGAAATTACGAACTTGAGGTTGAAGCTGTTACTAATACTTTGTAAGGGTTATTTTAGCTAAAGAACACGCAGTGCAGAATTTAGGACACAGATTTCGAAATAACAACAAAATATGGCTCGTTTGGCAACAGACTTATAGTAAATACGACATGTTTATTATTGTGGGAAAACGTCTCTAAATGTAGATAAACTGTAAAAAGACTAAGTTGGAGCCAGCTTCATCACTGCAGGTCTAAATAAAATGCAAAAATAAAAAGACACCCATAAAATGGTCAATCAGCAACAGATGGAACAGTGTATTATGTAAGTGGCCAATACCTAGTCTGTTCAACATCGAGCACAAAGCAAGGAAAGAAGRAAAAAAATCACATTTATAGACCTCAAAAGACTAAACTGAATGTTATATCAACAATATGTTCATCTTGTTTGGGAATTAGAATTGCTTTGTTTGAGGAAAACGGCCAAATTCAGACTCGTTAAGTAAGCTATTACCGGTTGTTAACTTAGTTTATTCCTAATGAATCATGATTTTTTCCTGCATTTCCGAACGATCTGTTTGATTTGACTTAAGGACCTTGAAAAGACACCGTGTACAACGATAATCGAGCACTCTTCACATTACTACGATTGTGGACGCCCCTTCTCGATAGCACTTCTCGATAAGCTTTCAAAACGGTTAGTCACAATAACATTTTCTCTTTACAAGCCAAGGCTATCGGATCCAATAGATTTCTGCTCCCTCAAGGTTTAATAACACCATTCTAAATTTCTTTATCGTAAACTTGAGATTCTGATTATTCTTTTAATAGTCAGTCCATCTGTGAGCGTGCTCTTTTTGTACCATCCTTAAAACCGGCTCTTAAATATACATTAAGCAAATGAAATGGTCTACAGTTAGCTCACGTAGTCAAGGCAACCGTTTGACTAGTTCTTGCATGTTCTGTGTTTTGCTATAGGGATTCATACTGCCAAAAAGGAAAACACGAACAATAGGCAAGACTAAAAGAGCAAAATAATAAGAACAATCTATAATGGTATTGAAATAGGACTTTAAAACTAGCTAATTACTTTTTGGGGTTGCCACTTTAAATTCATAGCAGATGTCTAATCAAGGCCGGTTTATCTACAAAATAGTAGACTATACGGCCAGCTTTAGTTCTTGAAGGCACGAGCCGTTGAGTTAGCGCGGTCACTAAGGATAAAATACAAAGACTAGATAATAGAGAATCGAATCTCAATCAATCCTTCACCTCCGGATATCRTTATGACGAATAGCGAAGGGGGTGGAAAGACTATTTATAAGAGGAACCCGACTAGTGAGGTGTGTTCATCTACTCTCTACACGTAGGACTTCAGTGTATGACTAGCCATGAGTGCAGCTCATCATCATCATCATCATCATTCAAGCCTCACAAGGTCACATCGACAACTATTACATGGATATTACGTCCTTCCTTGCTGTACGGCCCAACATTGTGGCTTTCAAGTTCCCAGTGAACCCGTACGACATGTTAGACAACAATCTTTCTCGATCGAATCAATCCTAAATACCACCACATCTGCACCGCCTCTCCCTTCCAGAACCACGAGCTCCTTTTCCATGGATTTCCTCCGAAAGCAAAGCCAAGCAGCTTCTTTGTCAACCAGTTTATCTCCTTTACAAAGATTACAGCCTTACCCTGAATGTTACAGTCGAGCCCTTTCTTCCTCCCTGATGGAGGACAAAGGTAAGAACAGATGATCCCCCTCTTTTTTTATTCTAGAGTTGAGAAAACTTATACCGAAGTTATAAATACACTTTAGTCCGCATAAAATACACTTTCAAAAGAGAGACGGTGTTTGCAATTATCCCCCATTCCCTCTTACATCATTAGGCTCTCAATCGGTAAAGGATTAGCTTACTTTGACTTTCAAAAATAATTTCAAGTTATGATACAAAAAGCAAAAAAAAATTTCTTTTACTTCTAAAAATAATTCAAATTTAGGATAGAAAAAGCAAAGCATTTTTATGAGATTTACACTGTATTGAACTATTGAATTATTGATTGGATTAAAACTAGTATTAGTATAACATTGATTGCACTGTTTTAAAAAATCACACTGTAATGCGAAATTCTGCGTGTAATTGTGAAGTCCCCGATAAATGAAGTGTGATCATGAATCAAAGGATCAAATACTGCCTATAAAGCCTTTATTATACCATAGGTAATTAACTATGATTGTACATACAGAGAGCACGAAAATGTTCTGTTTGAGAGAAAAAAACCAATTGATTTAATAATGTCTCGAATGACCCAAAATAGCCGTGCAGTTTGCCCTTTTTTTTCCAAACAACTTTACGTTTTCTTTAAGGATTGAATGCAAGAGAAAAATCTCTCTTAAAGTGGCTTTAATTAGTAAACTACGAATGTTCATTTAGAGTTGTGTTCGTACAGCAATCATTGGTAATGACCAAATAATGCCGCTAGGCCGACTAGAGCATAATTAGAATTGTCTTTTATAGTGCTTCAGTATTTCAAAAAAAGCTTCTTAGAGGAATTTTTAACAAGATTGATTTTTGTTCATTCTTACTACATGATCGTTTTCAGTTCCTTACTTTCGTTCTCATTTGGTTTTTTCCTCATTATAAAAGAATCGATATTGAAATACCCTATAGATTTTCAGTTTCCATTTTTATTACTTACTATCTTTCTTAAGTTCAAATGGAGATTTTCTTATATAAAAAGACATTTGCATTGGGCTTTATAAAAGGATGTAAAAACAACGTGACAAGTTTACTAAAACTTTTTGTTGTTTTTAGCGTAAAAAAGCAAATTTTTTTTTCCGACCGCACTTTTATTTCCCAAGGTTCCATCTTTTTTGAACATTTTTTTTTTCAATGAACAATCTTGAATGGAAAAAAACAACTATTTTTTTACAATCTTTGTGAATTTATTTAATTTTGATTTGGCGTTTTATTTAAAAAAATCCATTGTTTTGTCTTTTCGTTGCTACTTTGTCTTTCAAGGGATATCTCTGTCCTTTCTTAGAATGCAATTCGCTTTCAATTTTACTCTCGACAATAATCTTATGAATTGAGCCAACTTTTTTAAGATTTAAAGAGAATTAAGGATCTTTACGCGGCGGTTAGTAACTACTCGAATCTTCTTCTCGACAATAGCTATCCGTTATGCACAATCGTTTTGAATAACGATCCACAAAACAGCAATTAGAACAAGACTAAAACAGCCTCTTGTACTTTAGCTGTGTTAACAATAACCCATAGCGTATCAGCAGGTGTATTGTCCATAGTAAGCTGGGATTACTCGAGTTAACAAATCTCAAAATCAAACAGCCCTTACGGATGATCTTAAACAGACAATTAGCAGTCGTGGCAGTCGTAATCTTTGAAAACTAACTGGTTAATGACCAGACGGCGCCAATACTAGGAGAACTCTGACAGGGAATAAATCATGTTGGAGTTTATCTGTCGATTTTCAAGAACACCGACCCTGACTAATTGTCCATTACTTTTTAATGATTCAAGTTTAATGACCACCTCATTTATCGAATATAATCATTGGAAATGGATGCTCATTTGGCCGTAACGACGCTAATTTGAGGCTAAATTTCCGTCGAAAACCCCGCAAATCTCCAAGTTGTTTCAAGAAATAGTAATAGTTTTCTTTGATATCTTCATTCTTATTCATCAAATTTGGTTGTTATTCCGCCTTGCATCTTCGGTAAGAAGTACTTCCTGCGTTACCTTTGCTATATAACTGAGGGCTATAGAGTATCACTTCATCCGCCCTATAAAGTCAACTCTTTTTTGGACGTTATAGCGTGTAATGACTAGATATATAAATTTGTTCAAAATTAGTAAATTAAAATCATCTTTATTACTGTTATTTGCCTTATTTCGAGCTTATTCTTAARAGACCGGTTATTATTAGCAAACAAAGAGAGAGGCATTAATTTTCATGCGAGACAGAAAGAACGAACACTGTGGCATGGACTGCAGGGATAGAGGGTAGGGAAAGTTTGAATATGGCATGAAAAGCGTACCTCATCAAAAGAATGATTTGAGGCTCAAAATAGACAAACTTTTTTACCCTTGTATTTTACAAAAATTGAATTCTTTGAACTTTATTAACTCATAATGATTTTTTTCTACAGTCGAATGTACGCAGACGACGAAGCGACCATGGAAAGCCGAAAAACCAAAACGAGTCAGAACCATTTTCTCGCCTGACCAGCTTGAACGACTAGAGAAAGAATTCGACAACCAGCAGTACATTGTGGGAACTGAACGCTTCTATCTTGCTTCAGAACTGGGATTAACTGAAACACAGGTCAAAGTTTGGTTCCAAAATAGGAGAATCAAATGGAGGAAGCAAAACTTGGATTTACCGAAAAATGACAAAGACGACGATGATGAAGAAGAAGAAAACTAAATGTACACAGGACAGTTTCAAAGAAAATTTCATGTCTTTTTTCTAGATTTTTTACAATAAGATGTCGGGAACTTTTAGATTTCTATCGGTTTCTACATTAGTGGGATGTCCTTTCACACGGTAAGGAAGTGTGACGTCATCAAAATACGGAACAGTACTTCAATTATAGAGCCTTTAGAAATAGAGAATAGAGCATTTATCTTCTCTGTCCGGCGCCATTAATTCCACTCATATAACATATTTTATGATGATTATATGTAAACTTCCAAATAGATAAGTTGGTGATGTCATTACTCACCATTAGTCACGTGATCCAAGTGGATTTTGTCTTGTATGTGTAACATGTTTTTAACGAAAGGAATGCCCATTTATATCTATTAGAATAATATTGATAAATAAATTAGATAAATACAAATAACAAGATACTAAAATATTATGATATCAAAGACACGATTGATAGTATTGGGTTATCAGTATGATTATCATGATTTATATAATATGATGCGATTATTAATATATTAATAATACATTGATAATATATTAATGATTGAAAGTCTATAAATCGGGGAATTAATCGATAACTTTAGTGAAAATAATTCATGATTGACATTGGTCATAATGTAAATAGCAAAACAGATGATTTATATGATTGTGCAAACGAAGTGTAAAATAGCCATTTATAATCCAAACTAAACATTTTTCAACACAAATAAAGTTTATTAGATAAAGAAATGTGTTAATAATTGAATAATATATCTCGAACTTACCTATTTTTGAGAGAAGGATATATTTTGTAGTGAATTATTTGACCACGTGTGACCTTTACACGCTACCCTATGTTTAGTTTAGTTTTAAATTTTAAGTTTACTAAATGCATCAAATACTAAAAAATACCTGTTTTAACGGCATTAAACCAGATCTTTTGTGTGCTACCGACTAAATTGTCATTTGTTATCGATATTTCGGTGAGCATGTAGTCTTTGAAGGCAGTAAGAAACCTTATCCAACTTCTGCAGTTTACCAAAGCCGCCATGATGTCCTGTTCAATCTTCGCGCTTTTGTATTACGTCGATGCACGTGATGCTGTTCTTTGGGGAAGCAGCAAACGTCATTTCCGGTATTGTTTGGGTAAATCAAAAGTTAATTTCAAAGATCTTAAAAGGACTGAGTCCTTTTAAGACTCATGGTTTATTTATTTCCACAATACAAAAGTTAGGAGAGGTTGATTTGACATGCAGAATTTTCATCAAATGAAAAGCAATAAACTTAAAACCAATATCAGTATCAGTCGATGTACTTCTTCTTGCTTCCCCTTAGAAACAGACAACTTATACTATACACTATGAAAAAACTGAATAAAAATCAGACACATACAAACACGGCGAAATAAAAATGTTCAAAGACCCTAGAACAAGGTTGGGTACCCTGTGTTGAAATAAGAACCACAGGAAACCCAAGATAAAAGTTACCCAGAAATCAGTTCGTCCTTCTTCTCCATTGGACGCCATCTTGGAACGGTGTTTTTCTAGTTTGGCGTAGTATTCAAGGTTTTATTGGTTTCTAGGGATATAAAATGCCCGTTAACGTACATCCAGCTATTAGAGTAAGTAATTTTTAAACGTTTTTTAAGCTTAGAACCTCAGTCCTCGTATGTAACTAGATTCTTTCAGCTAATTTAGCTTCGCTTGCTGCACTAAGTGTAAGCTTATTTGTGAAGGTTATGTCAAAACCCTCTCTTTACCATGGATCATTAAAGCACTGTAGCCCTTTTTTAGGACTGCAGTTCTTTTATGATCCATGCTTTTACTCAACTTTCAATTGATTTTATCGATGCAGTTGACTAATTCAGAGCTTACGTGGACCAATACTGATGCCTGGTTAATTTGTAATTTTTTGTTTTTCTCTTAGTTCTCGAGATATGCTGCTCTTTTTATTGGAGTTGCATATGGATATAGAAGAAATGGTTAGTGGCGCAAAATGACAGAAATGCTATGGTTATTGATAAAAGGCGATTCTACTAAGATGTTACACAATTCAAAACTACAAACACCTTAATGCAACTATCAATGTCTTGCCCCAGTGGGGTTAGGAGTGATACCAGGGGAATTGACCTTATTCGATGCCCCCACCATTGGGAATTTGACTTGGCCGCCATCTTGAAAAAGCCAGAAAATACAATAAACATATGTACTAAGAGTGGAAATATGACTTTCATCACTGTTGTCCAGAATGGGGAATTTGAAATTTTCAAATGTCAAATTCACTTGTGGTCATCCTCCCCCCTCCTCCCAGCCAGGACCTTAACATTGATAGATACATCACTACTGTTGCTATATTATGGCAGAAATAACAATAATCCCCAGAGATAACGTTATTCATACCTTTGGTTACAACCAATAAACAAGCAACCACAAAACGAAAACCCAGTTGTTAAACAAGATGCATTGCAGACGTAAGGCAGAGATTGCTTAAATTATCAAATCACAATTTTTATTCAGAAACAAAGCCCTCTTTTCTGGAGTGTTGTGCTAAAGTGCTTGTTATTAAAATTTAAAAACACACCTTCATGTTGGTTCTTATTCTTTGTAGAATATTTGAAGCCTAAAGCAGCTCACGACAGAGAAGTAGAAGCATTAAGAGCAAAAGAAAAGGCTCTGTTAGAAGAAGCAAAGAAGGCTGCTGCAGCAAAAGGTTTGTCATACAAATATAGATAAACTTTGAACAAATTCTCCTCAAATTACTGACACTATTATATTTGATGAGAGATAAATTATTTCTTATTCCATAAAAAGCCCAGTTCAATATGTTCATGACTTATGCCAAATATAATCCCCCCCCCCCCCCCCCCCCCCCCCCCCCCCCCCCCCCCCCCCCCCCCCCCCCACCACACACACACACACACAGGCATAGCTCAATATGCCACTTATGCCACTGACCAATCAGCTATTTCAAAGGTTGAAGAGAAAAATGAACCAAATTGCCATTGCAGTGCACTGTGGAGCTGTTTTAGGCAACAAAATTACGCCATCTTGAAAATTTGTCTAAAACAGTCACACAATGCGCTGCCAACTCAACCCAATATTTTTTCCTCAGCCTCAAAATAGCTTTTGCTTGAACAAAAGTTTGTACAATATTTAATTACTTTTATTTTACTTTTTTCTTGTTTCAGAGCCATTGTTTTGAATTATGTGTTGATCGCCAATCATACAGTGAATTTTTGGAGAATATTTAAAGGGAGTGCTTTACTATATGATGTTAACAAAGAACCTGAGAATGTGATATTGTACATGTAATTACATTGAACTCTTTGTCACTATACTTATTAAAAATAATTTTTTAAAAACTTGTTCTTTTCCTTTTTCAAATTTTTTTCATATAGCTTGTATTTAACTTGATTGTGCAAATGAAAGAGCTTGAACTATTTTTTGTTGTTGTGTTGTTGTTGTTGTGCTTAGCTTTAAGTTACTGTACTCATTATAGTGACGTCAGACTAGTGGTGTCGCACTGATGACTGTACTACCCCTCCCCAGCAAGACGAAGGTATGTTCTACACTCAAAAAGCAAGAGAAGCACCTTGCTATGCCTTGTGTTCTTAAGCTTGCCTTTCTCATGCTCTATGCCTGTTTTGCAGCACATGCATGTCTACAAAATTTAATAACGAAGGAATAGAGAACGTGCATGCATGCTGTGTTCAGTTATAAAGTGGGGATCTTCAGAACACAGGACAAGTGTTATAACAAGCATGATGCATAGCTGAGTGCTTCTCAATACTTCTCGAGTGTTCTGACAATCTCCAAGTGCTTTATACACTCCACACAGCACGGCAAGGGAGTTTTTTATTTTGCAATCTACTAGTTCTTATCAGGCTAGTAAGGGTTTGTGCATCTGTTATATACATTGTGTCTGTTGTGATTGGATAGGTGGTTCATGCTGTGATATATTTGTGCTGTGAAATATCCTTTCATTCTTATATTTGCAATACCTCCCTGCATTGAACATTTATAATATCTCAATGTCACACTTTATTTTCTATGATAAATGTATACTATATACAAATTTATGTACATAAAAACACTGAAGGGTGAGCTTGTCAAGAGAAATCTTCCCAACCATACATATGTAAAGCTGCTAGACATTTATCTTTTAGTGATCTTAGCAGCATAATTATTTTCCCTTTCTTTCAGCTTTGTTTCAACTTCAATCTGAACAACAAAAAAAAGAATAATCTAAGTATAATGTGATTTACAATTTGAACTTTCAAAATGCAAATTACCTTGAAATTTTCGAATATGCCGTCAGCTGTCTTTCGAATGATAGTTTTGATGTGTTCTGGTTTGATGGTAGTGAGTATATCTTTAGCAATTTCATCTGTTTTTCCTTTTTCTTTTGAAACTGAAAAACAAAAACAAAAAACCAGAATTATCAAAGCCACATAACCAACGAATCAGAAAGCTGTATATTGCTTGTAATAGCTGCATATTAAGAAATATATTTTTTTCTTACCTTCTTCATTTTCTCCAGCCTTTGAGGAAAAAGAAAAATGCAGTTAATTCATCACCTTCCTTTTTAAATATTGAACACAACAAATGTACCATAAATTTAGCCCTCTCGCAGGCCTCTTTGTTTTGTCTTGGAAAATTCTTAGAATTAGTGGGATACTTGTGTCTAGTTTAGCAAAGCAGGCCACAATGCATAAGCATACCCTATGCAGCTCTTGATTCAAGAATTGCTACCATAAATTATGAAGTTTAATCTTRGTTCACCTCATCATTTGTCTCGGGTTCAGGTGTGGTGGGTGGGGTCATGATGTACTCCCGCCAAAGGTCTTCTGTCATTCCCTCGTCCAGTGGTGGAGGGAAGGGAATATCTGCCATTGGTGGTACTTCTACTTTCACCTATCGTTGAGCAATATATGTTAGCATTGACTGGGAGTTAATCATTTTGTATTGCATTTTTTTGTAAAGGAGGGGACATAAGCAAAGTCCGAATACTGCAAAACTGGCCAAAAAAAAAGGAAAAAACTGCAATACTGCAACGTGTTGCAAAACCGTACAAGAAATAAGGCAATACCGCATCACTGTAAACCCCTACAACCCCCTCACATAGTAAGAATATGTAAAAGAGAAAAGTAAAAATAAAGAGAGGAGTAGAAAGCAAAAGAAAGAGAAGGAAAGAAAATAAAACAAAAAGAGAAAGGAAAGAGATTCTCACCTCGGTAGTTATGACCTCTTCTGAAGGTTCTTGAGTAAACAAAAACTCGTAGAGTTTAAAATGCTGAAACAAACTGAGAAAGAAAGTCAGAGGTAAATTTACATTTTTGCTCAAAAGACACAGGTGTGTGCTGGCACTGTGTTAAAATTATTTTATGAATAAATGAAAGAAAGAAGCATTAACTCGTACCTATCGGTAAAATAATTTGTAATGACTTTGGCTTGGCTGATATCAAAGCATTCAAGTCCTCCACTCTTAGGACAGTTCTCCATTCCGATTCCAACAAGTAGCCTCTTGAACTCTACTAGACTCTCAGCCAGTGACATATGCTTGTCTTGGAATAACAATAATGACAATTTATTATAAAGTAATGTCTGGTTCTGTCTATCCCTCTCCAAGGGGGCAGGAACTAGAGAAATTTATATTCCATACTCCCCTATGGAGGGCAGAAACATAGCAAGGGTGAGGTTAGGGGGCAATCCCTCCCCTACCTGTGGATTTGGCAGGAATTTTTCGCCTCAAAACATGTGTGCTCACCCCTCCAACACTGGTACTCTTGCTAGACCACTGATGAAGGGGGACTGGAATTTCTCAGGGATAATGAATGTTTGGGAGGGAAGATGGAGGGGATAATGGACTTGCCTGGGGATAAAAGGGTGCAGATATTTTGAAGACTATTAGCTTGCAAGATTTTGAAATGAAAATATTGATAATCCCTGACCAGCAAAGCAAAATAGTGATGCAGACCCACTACAAGGCCTTGGCATAAATATGTTCATATTTGCCATTTTTATTGTTGAAGGCTGAAAAGAGAGATAGGGGAGGTTTGTTCACACATTTGAATTATCCCTGGAGATGGACCATGCTTACCTTTTATATTTTCTACTAATATTTTTAAAAGCGTGAAGAATGCAGAAGTCTGCTGGTTGTTGAAATTTTCTTCTTTTGTAAACCTAAGAAGTCTTTGTTAAGGAATGCAACAGCTATGCTGACTGGTTAGAAGAATTACTTAACTCAGTTTATAAAATGCATGCACTTTTGGGCAGAAGAGGAATAATTAACTAAAGTTAGTGTGGAGTGACCTCCAGAAGAAACCATGACTTATCTCCAGTTATAACATACTGATCAGCACAAAAATACAGTGTTAATAAAAAACAAGGATACCAAAATCCAGCCACATAATAATCTAGAACACAAGCTTCAGGAAGAGAAATGTGGTAGTTGGTGAGGTTCAGAATCTCGGCAAGTTTTCTGAAATGACAACAGAAGTGTTAAAAAGCTGCTGGCCCAGTATTATATTACCCAGGGAAGGAGGTGGCGTGGAAGGGGGGGGGGGGGTTAAGGTTCTTTGTCATCAAATTTAGTCAAATTTGGAAAGGCTGGGACAAAGGAACTAGTTTCTAGGTAAATTTGTAGATCTAAGTTTATAAATGAAAGTTCTGATAATTCAATTATTTGTCTTGAAAACGTAGCAAAAGGTGGTGTTAATCAATAACTTCATTATTTAATACTCACGCTTCGAGCTCACGGGGTGTGAGTTCTTTTAGAGCGTTTGTTTGATCCTCTGAAATAACTTTATAAGCCAATGACTCTTTTACTTCTTCCTACAAGACACAAACTGAATTTTGATCCTTCTACAAATACATTATGAGGGATTCTTTTACGAAGACAATTCCTCAATAAAGACCCATTATGATAGATAATTAAAGTGCTAATAACCATCGACAGCTTTTCATTTTGATCTTACAATAAATCGTGCTTCAAAATTTTCGAATGAAAGCTTAAAAGAACCATTTTTTTAAAGCAAATTCGACTTTTTTGAAGGTTCAAAAAATGCAGAACAGCTCTGACTAATTGCTAGATAAGTAAAAACAATAAACTAACTTCTTGGGGATTTCCTCCTTTTCCCCTATCTGCTTTGTTGGCCGACTTTTTTCTCTCTGAAGACTTAGTCCTTATCGCTGATCGACTTTTCTTTGCGTCCGCCATCTTGTTTTTTGCAAAACTCTTCGTTTTCGATTATCTTGTTGCTATGCAACTAAAACCACAGGGAGACCAGCTAAACAAAAGCCTCGTTTTTAAAATTATTGAAATTTTTACACAGGTAGCCCAAGCTTGGTTTCTGTGGTGTCCTGTTATAAGGAAATGTATGGGGATTCAACAAAAATTTCAATAAAATCATCAAAACGTGAAATAAAGCCTCGAAATTTTACC